AAAATTTACTATTCTAATTGTATAATAATTAATGATTGTGAATTAAGTTACAAATTCTAACCTTAATATATAACTAAGTTAACTAAAAAAAATTTAAATATTTGAAGATTTAAGAAAAAAATAAATAATTTTTCTAATATAAACAGATATGTTATCTTTTAAAAATAATTTTTTGGATTTTTTTTGTATGAGATTTAATCATAAAAATTGCATAATTTTATAATGTATATTTCTAATTATATGATCAATTAAAAAACAAACTAAAAATATATTAAATGCATTATTTTATGAAATATTAATTTACAGATAAAATTATAGTATAAAATCTGTAAATATATTTAAAATATTTATTAAATTATTTTACTATATTATTATTTAATCTTATAATTGAAATTCAAAATTTCTTGATTAGCTAGATAAAGAAAAAGAATATAAATTTTAATGATTATTTATTTTTATTATATAAAACTAAAAAAATATAAATCTTTTATTTACAAAAATTCATAAATACTTGTAACAATTTCTTATATTTATAATAATAAAAATACATTATAATAATAAATAGAGTTCTGAATGAGTCGACTTGAATTAAGTTTAAAGATCAACTCTATTCAACTCTCTTTTTTTGAGTTAAGTTGAGTCAAATTTATTTTATAAAATCTTTCAATTTGATTTGATTCGAGTTATATAAATTTTAAACTTGATTCAATTTGATTTGACTTGATTTTAACTTGATTCAATTTTAAAAAAAATAATAAAAAAAAATGAAAAGATTAGGGAGAGAAAAGTGAACAATTTGTTATCATTCTTCTTAAACGATAAAGAAAATTATTCAAGTCAAACGATTTATTATCATTCTTCTTAAACAATAAAGAAAATCATTCAAGTCAAACAATTTATTATTGTTCTTCTTGAACGATAAAGAAAATCATTTAAGTCAAACGATTTATCATTGTTTTTAAACAATAAAGAAAATTGTTTAAGTCAAACGATTCATTATCATTCTTTTTGAATGATAAAGAAAATCATTCAAGTTGAACGATTCATCATTATTCTTCTTGAATAATAAAGAAAATCATTCAAGTCGAACGATTTATCATTGCTCTTCTTGAACAATAAAGAAAATCATTCAGTCAAATGATTCGTCATCGTTCAAGTTAACTCGAGTTAACTTGAATCAAGTCGAGTTTAAATTGAGTCGAGTTAAATATTTAACTTGACTTGAATTTGGCTTGACTCACAAATTATTGAGTCAAAAAAACATAAACTCGACTTAATTTAAACTCAACTCAGCTTATCTGACTCGTGAGTTAACTCGACTCATCTAGAACTCTAATAATAAACTAATCTTTATATTATTTTACAAATCTAATTAAAATAATAAAAGATTTATTAATTTTTTTAATTAACAATTCTAATAAGATATTAGAAATTAATATTTCATAAATCATTTTAAAATAGAATTCAATTTGTTAGTTCATTAGAAAAATATAAGTAATCAAAGTTAACAATACATTAAATATCAAATATTATATTTTATTATTACAGAATTAAAGTTATCTTTATTTATATTTTTTATTATATAATATGATATTATATGTAAATATTACTTTGAGATATTATTGATAATTGAAAAAGCAAAAATTTCATATACAACTTATTCTAATATAATAGTATAATAATTATAAAAATTTATAAAAGAATTTTGTTTAATTACTGATAAATTTATATAAAAAGATATTACATATAATTATGAAGCTAACAAATTTAACAAATTATAATAATTTAATTAAAATAATAAGGATTTTTGTGAAGATAGATTAATGTAGTATTGAACAGTTTTGAATAAATTTTAAATACTTTTCTTATGTTTAAAATCTTATTCAAAACTAAATAAATCTAAAAATATATCCAAAACTCATCATTGAATTAATAGTTCTTAAATAATAATTATATATAAAAAATTATATAGAATATATAAGAAAACTTTGAATTAAACATTATAAACTGATTTTAAAACAAAGTAGCTTATTAACTTATTATAAAAACTTATAGAAGATTGCAAAGCAAATTAATTAGATTTATATAAGAATGATATAAATGATAATGAGAATACTGATTCTATATTGCTAATTTTGTAAAATTTAAAAAATAACGTAAAAAAGATCAATTAATAAATATTAAAAGATTTAAATCTTCTTCTGAAACTGTAATTTTTAGTTAAAAAATTAGCAACATTGTAGAAAATGTGAAAAACTGATCATTATTAAAAAGACTGTAAGGTAAGATCATTTGTAACTTTTTTTTACATGTATTATTTTTTACTATATATTTTATTATTAAGAATAAGATATTTAATAATTAATAATTAGAATATATTAATATAATAAAAATAAGAATTAAAGAAATATACTTTATGTAGTAATTACTTTATTTATAATAGATTTTATAGAATTTTATAATTAGTAATTTAATTAATATATAAAAAATTTTTATTTTTAATTTATAATTTGTAATATATAGTATTTATTAAATATTATATAAAAAACCAGACTATAATTTCTAAGAAAAAATGAAATAATTAAATAAAGTTATGAAAAATGAAATATTATTTTAATAAAAATCTTATTCACAAAAATAAAATACTTTAACAATAAATAATAATAATGACTAAAGTATAAGAGAATAGTTTTGAAAACTATTATTAAGTTTAAAATATAAGGGACTAACTACGTATTGATTTAAAATTTAAGCAGACAGACATTAAAGTGTATAAAATATATATAGTTTTTAGCTAATACTCTAAATTAATAAAGTCTTTTATGATCTCAAAAATTTAACATTTTTATTTGTTAATTTAATACTAACAACATATTATATTAATAAATAGCTTATATAATAAATGTATTTAACAAAAATTATTAAATAAAAATTGATCATATACAAATCTATTTATTACATGATATTAAAAATTAGTGATAAAACAATATAATGATAAATTACAAAACTTTTTTATTTAATATGAATATTATTTAAATACAAATTATTAGTTTTTATAATTTTTTAAAAATAATTATAACTAAAATTTTAATTAACTAAACTTAATAAATTATTTATAAAATTTAAATTATAAATTGAAATTTATAATAAAAAAAATGAATTAATTTTAAATCTAAACTTATTTATTAAAAAATCATATTTAATATATAAAATAAAAATTTTTTCTTTTTTATATTCTTTCCTTTTTACTATAAAGCGTCTATATATAAAAATTTTATAATAATCTAACTTTATTTAATATCAGATATTAATTTTTAATATAAAAGCTTTTTCTAATTAAAAAAAGGTTAAAGTATTTTCCATACATTTTTTTTTTTTAATATATTCTTGGAAAGTGCTGTGTAACATATTATATTGAATCACACGGATAAATTTGGTTCCGACTTTCATTTTATTACAACTATCATCTCAATTTTTAGTAACACTTTTTTTTTTCCCTTCAAACCCCTCTTTCGAGAGGCCTTCTTTTTTTCAGCAAAAAGCGTCCCCCTCAACGTCCCTACCCCAAAGGAAGCAACCCCAACTAATACTTGATACTATCTACTATTACTGGATAAAAAAAATGAATATGAATGTGACACAACTTTTTGAGAGGTACGGTTTATTAGGTCTTACTTTAACTAGCTTTTCTTTTAGTGACCGAAAGAAGGGTACTTGCACAAAAGCATCGCGTGGAATATCATAAACACGACTTTTTTAGCTTGTTTGAAATATTGTAAAATACTGTTTTTGGAAGGTTGTCTGGATCTAGTCCGGATAACTTTTACTTTTTTATTCAACGTGAATAACAACATACACTGATTTCAAAAATATGTAGCATCGTTCTGATGGCTCAAGAAGCCAAAGAACAATTTGCACGAGGTATAGAAAGCGAGGCCTTTAACCGTCTTGAAGATATCGCAAAGACTATTAATGTGTTGAAAGACTTTAAAACAAATATTGAACAACTGGTAATCAAGGGTGTTTAATATTTCTCTCCAAATTTTTACTTTTTATTTTTTGAATTATTCTCACGTTTTACTTTATTTAATAGAATTTAAGGGTAAATTCTTTTTTTTTAATTAAGATATTTTATCTTAAACCGAAATTCTTCCGTATTTTTTTTTTTTCTTTTATAAATTTTATAAATGTTTATATTTGTAAATATGGCTAACTCTTTAATAAATTAATTGACAAAAGCATTCCATGGCTACGCCCCATACTACGCCACAAGCATCTCCATCAACGTCAGTATCTACACAGCCTATTGTACCACACCAAAAAACAAATAAGGTTCGCTAGATATTTTCTAACCTTCATCGCATCGCATCGACTTACCTAAAAAAAATTTTTTTTTTTAAAAAAAAAATAAACGATTTAGAGAGCTGTGACTGTAAAATATGAAAAACCTAGGAAAGCGATAAAATCGAATGTTGAAGATACTCCTACTATAACAAGCGAAGTGTATTCTGTTAATGTTCGCGATTTAGCTAGCACTGGTGATCATTTTGCTCCGGTTTGTATCATTAATCAAGGTGTCAAATATTTATTATCTTTCATAGTCAATATTGATATTTTTGAATTTTTTTGTGACCTATAGCCATCTCCCATTTTTGCTCCACAGGGTGTTGTACTTCAAAATACGACACGCACGCATACACATGCACCGTTAGATCCCATGCTTTTGAAAAATCTTGATGATATATTCATAAGCTTTTTACAAACCATTTGTTCTAATCGTATGTGTGATATTTTATATTATTATGATTAATATAAATAATAGGTTTCTAATGTTTTATAAATTTTATATAGTGGACGCTACTGATTCAAAGGGTGAACAGATGTAGGTTTGAGATTTATTGCTATTTCAGGAGTTAGTTTTGGTTTAGTTTATTTTAATTTTGACCGTGGTAATTTATTTTTTTTGACAATAGTCATCAGACTTTAATGGCAAAAAAGATGCAAAAGTTGGATGAGTCTCCTGACTTTCGTCCATTCAAATTTCGAATTCAAGCATTCACTAATGCCTTTCATGAAGAATTACTTCGTCATGGATTTAACGAAGATATGTTACCATTAAGAAAAGTGAAGAATTATTTGTGGACGCAAAGGTTTCAATATAAAAATTTTTTATTTGTTGAATTAACATCTTTAATATTATATAATAAATTTCTTTTTTTTTTAAAAAAAAAAAAAAAAAAAAAGATATATCTCTCGATTTAATGAGGATGGTAAAAAGGCCAAATCCAAGGGTAATCATGTATGGAATATAGAAGCCAAAAAAACACCTACTGGTGGGTGGATATTTCGCGAGTTTACTCGCAAAATAGCTGGAATTCCTGACAAGATTGCTTACGTTGGAACAAAATATACTTATGCTCCTCGAGTTTGGGATCCGCAAGTTAACGTTAAATGTAAGTGATAGCCTAAAGAATATCTTATTTTCAGATATTAATCCATTAAATCAACTTCATTTTTATTAGCTATAAAAGCTGTATTTCACTCACCATGGCTACCAGAATGGCTTCGTTGGGAAAATAATATTTTGACAGGTACTCCAGATATGAATTCAGAGACGTGTGAAATTACAGCAATTGCCAATTATTATCACGGTGATACCGTTTATAAGCTTGAAAAATCTTTCGTCATTACTGTGGCACATATTGATCAATCTGAACACGATTTGAATCTTAATTCTGTAGTAAGTAAATTTTATTTAGGATTTTTTTTTTTTAAAAAAAAAAATATTTTACAAAACGATTTATTTTTTAGGCTATGTCTGATTATCAATTGCAACCTCATATCGGTTAATCAATTTTGTAAATCCTTACCTTTGCTTATTATTAATTAAAAAGATATATTTTGGTAAAATAGGGTTAAACAAAATAATAATAATAAAAGTTGTACAAATATACTAATTTGATAAATTTGGTAATTGAGCTTTATTATTCTAAATAAAAATCCGATGAATTTGTTAAAATCAAACTTCTTAACATTTAGTAAACGCGAGTAATTTATTTACGCGACTAGCATTTAATATCTAAATTTGATTGGCTAATAATATTACGTAATTTGTACTTAAAATTGGGGGTTGTGTTCAACTCGAATTTTCCTCTCGTAGAATTCGAATATGCGTACTTCTCGTTTGACTTCATTATTACTTCCTAATTTCGCGATTCCTAACAAATCAATAAATAAATTAATCAACAAGGTATTAAAATAAGGTATTTCCTCTATTTATTATTTTATAAAACGTACATTTCTTTGCACATATTTCTTAATAAATTACTTTATAGGCTTCTTTCCATGCAACGAGTTTGTTCCTTCAAAAGTCTGGAACACCACCTCCAGCGGAAGGCTTTATGTCTGGTGTTTCCCAGTCTAGCTTTATAAAAAGTACACAAGAAACAGCTCTGAAAAATCCTGAATTTGATATTGGAGTCGTAAATGGTATTTTTATTTAATTTATCAACGTATTCAATTAATTGTTAGTTAAAACGGATTATGTTTTTATCCAGGAGAGACAAGAAAAATGAATTTGTTCCAAGCAATAAATGATGCCATGAGCATTGCATTGGCAACTGATGAGACAGCAGGCAACGTGTATAATCATTATCTTTATGGTTTTTAAATATTTCAAATTAATGTAATATTTTTCTGTAATAATATAGTTATCTTTGGTGAAGATGTGGCTTTCGGTGGAGTATTCCGCTGCACTTTAGGGTTAGCCGAAACATTTGGTAATATTCAGCGAATATAGTTTTGATTTAGTGATACCAACCGTGTCAAACTCGGGAGTAGTTGTCAGTCAACTCATCTGTCGACTTAGTCATGACTCTCATTTGAAATTAGCAACCATTAATATTTAACAAAAAATTCTTAATGTTGCAAAAAGTATATAAGTTAAGAGGCGTAGTAAATCGTATGATTCAAAAATGATTTTAATAACAAACATCTTTTAACCGGAAAATAATTTGCACTTCAATTGATCAGAATAAAATTTATTCAGAATCCTACTCGGATTAATTGAGAATATCGTGATATTCTGAATCATATCAAAATTAGGATCAGTCATTTGAAAATACCGGAATTGACTCTGCAGACTGGTATCACAAAGTTTGATAATAATTATTTATATAAGTTTACGCGTTAATTAATAGGTAGACATCGTGTGTTCAATACACCATTGTCCGAGCAAGGTATTGCCGGTTTTGGTATAGGAATGGCGGCAATGGGTCATACAGCTATTGCTGAAATTCAATTCGCAGATTATATATTTCCGGCTTTTGATCAGGTACGATGATATCTATTTTTTTTTATTATATTGAAATTTAACATTTCTAATTTATATTAAATTAGCTTGTCAACGAAGCTAGCAAATATAGATACCGTTCGGGTGGTTTATTCAATGTTGGTGGTTTGACTGTTCGATCACCTTGTTCGGCTGTGGGTCACGGTGGACATTATCATTCGCAATCACCAGAGGCATATTTTACTCACACACCTGGGCTGAAGGTAAGCCTTTCATCAGGAAATTTTTTAGGTGTAAGTTTGTGTAATTTTAAATTTACGATACGTTTGTGAAAGTTTGGTAAGTTGACAGGCCTATTAAAGGTTTACGCAATTACGGGTTTGCAAGGGTTATACCTTAAAGGTAAGTTTGTGTAAATTAACATTAGTTGATACTTCAAAGGTAGAATTGCACCTAAAAAATTTCATGGTGGTCTCTCAGTGTAATAAATAATAGAATATCAATCGTTGTTATGTCAATTATAAATTGTTTTCATTTAAAGGTGATTATGCCTAGAAGTCCAATACAAGCTAAAGGTCTTTTATTAGCATCAATAAGAGATCGAAATCCCGTAATATTTTTGGAACCGAAAATTTTATATCGTGCTGCTAGTAAGTTGATGATTACCTTTTTTTGCAAATTAAAAAGTTATTATAATCCAATAACAAACCTTTATTATTATTTGCATCTTTATTGTGTGAGATTAGTTGAACAAGTTCCAGTAGTTGATTATGAACTTCCTTTAGGTAAAGCCGAGATACTCAAATCTGGCAAAGATGTAACTGTGGTAGGATACGGATCCATAATTTATATTCTAGAAAATTCCATTCGATTGGCGGAGAAAAACTTTCCTGGCCTATCATGTGAACTCATAGATTTAAGATCTCTGTTACCTTGGGATGTTGATACCGTTGCAAAATCTGTGAATAAAACTGGAAGGTTGGTTATTGCTCATGAGGCACCTCAAACTTCTGGTTTTGCAGCTGAAGTTGCAACAAGTATAATGGAAAGATGTTTTTTAAGACTTGAAGCACCAATCCAGAGAGTTTGTGGATGGGAGTAAGTTTCTTTCGTTCGTTCTCAGTTTTATTTTAAAAAAATGACGACTATCCTAAAGAAAAAAAAATTTTTTTTTTTTCCATTATTATTAGCACTCCGTTTCCATTAATATTCGAAAAATTTTATGTTCCGGACACGATTAGATGTTACGATGCCATTAAAGAAATTATAGAATATTGAAATATATTTATAGTTGGTTTTCAAATATTTGACAATCAAAATTTTTGTGATTGTAATTTTAATAAATGATGATGTTATGAAAGGAAAAAAATCTATAATAAGAACTATACTCGATTCACTTGTTCTGTTCATTTAATAAGAACAACACTCTACATACTAAACTCAATATGTATATAACAAACGAAAAAAATTATAATATCTAAATTAAGATCTCGAAAATGTAATTTTACATCTACCCAAGTATACTTTTCTTTTTTTTTTTTCTTTTTAACAAAAAAAAAAAAAAAAAAAAAAAAAAAAAAAAAAAAAAAAAAAAAAAAAAGAAGAAAAAATTGAAAAAAAACAAAAATAAAAAAAAAAAAAAAAAAAAAAATAAAAAAGTTTAA